TGTATTTGATCTACATTTGGTTTCTAGTAATGCCTATTAAATACTTTATGATTTCTGACCAAATTCTAAGTGATTTATATGCCACTTTACTTGCTATATTATACATACATTTCTGAAGAGAATTAAAATCTAATTGTGTTTTGGAAGAAAATTTAACATTAATAACAAAAAATAAATATTTAAAAATTGGGTCAAATGCATTCTTTCCCAGAAGTATAAAATAAATTGATGCTTGGGTTTTCTTGTTGTTATCATACAGCAAATACTCTTTCAATGGTGTTCCAGCCTAAAAAATAAAAAGTAGGAGATAAGAATACTTTCTATGGTTCACAACGTTTAAATAAACAATTTATTTTGCCACATCGAGACCGAGTCTCTATTTAGTTTTAACTTTGCGTAACGCTTATTGTGTCTTGTCCAGTTACAGACCCAGGCAGATTATTATGCTCAAATCAAATGAGTTAGAAGTCAGAAAAAAGTCTTGAGATTTGGGACTGAAGTCTCATAATAGGTCAACTATTCACCCTTTTATACATGTATTGTCTGCAAATCCAGATTCCCTACTACATCATGGCAGCACATATTTACTTGGCAATGTCTAATTATTTTTGGACCCATTCTTATTTTATTTCCATTGACAATAAATTGGATATTACCCTTTAAAATCTACTGAAATCTATTTGAAAGTAAAATACTGTCCATCAGATATGACTGTCAAAATTGTAATCAGCGCGCATGTTTTTTTAGGCTAAAAGTCTAACCATAAAACTTAGTGTCCATACATAATAAATATTTTATTCCATTAATCAATTCCATTCCGCCATTGGTTTGTCTTAAACTCGTCATTTGTGTTCATGGGCATCAGGGTCGAGATGGCAACGTTATATGTTTTATTCGTCTAATTTACTATAAAACATCATTCGGTTTGCCTCACGGGTTAACGGCATATTAATAGCTTTATTCACTGAGATGGTTCCTTTACTTATAGTTTATTTTTCGAATTGCTTTTTGTATTTATTTAAATGGAAATATTTAGCACCTTCTTGTTAAACCGTTGAAAGATTTAAAGTTTGGATTAATGTTAAGAGAGTGTGGGTCAAAGATGCCGCTGGCAGAGTGTGTATAGGGTGTTAAAGTTTAAAAGTTATTCCCTACAAGGTGGTTCTACGGTTCTTAACATAGAATTCAGCTGTGAAATAACACAGTTTCTTTCATTATGTGTACAACAATAAAACTAGTTCAATTGCAAATTGTCTAAACCACGGTGATGTGATGTATGCATCTAAATGTTTCGACGACCCACCAATCAGTAGTTGCATGATGATTAAATTTATCGGACATGGAATGTGGAAATGCTTTGGAACTTTCAACTGTAACACGTTGCAATAATTACTCAATATAAGCCAAAAGGATCCGCCTTGTTCATTTATAGTCCGGCCCTGCCTTCAGTATTAAAATATAAAATTGAACACAAAGTATATTTAGTAATCCGTATTGTAGTAATGGCAATCACGGCTTGTGTTTTTTTGTTTTGTTTTTTGTTATTTGTTTTTTTTGCAAAATATAAAATAATTACGATGTCGTTTAACACTCACAATAACATATTTGGTTACCGGCCATTCAGCCATTCAGGTCGTACATGTGTCAAGTATACAGTCATATATACAAACGCCTAACTATAGAAGCCTACCATTCTTAATTTCTACTTTTCGCCCTCCAAAACACGAAAGTCGAAAAGTAGCAGTTACGACAAAATGTGAGGCGACAGCAACGCTATACAAGCCAAAATCGACTCGAAAATAGGAAATCAAGAAATAATACACTGCGATAATAGCGCCCCTCGTTTTTTTTCCTAATTTCTTATTTTCGACTTGCATTTTGGCTTGTATACCGTCTTGTTGACTTTCGACTTAGTCATATTTTTGTATTTATTGATGTCAGTAAGATGTTACTATGGAGAACGTAAATTTCAGATTATACATTCCAGACTTCGTAATTGTAAAAGTGCTCTAAACTTCCATAGATTTTTAATGCATATTTCACATAACCCGACATGCAGTTGTGGTCATACTCAAGAAGACAGCGACCATTATTTTCTGCACTGCCCAAATTATTCGTTTCAGCGTATCTCAACATTAAATACCCTCCCATTTAAATCCATAAATACAAAAGCGTTCCTATATGGCGATACCAACGAAAGTAACCCGTTCAACAAAGTGAGTTTTAGTAAAGTTCACAAGTATTTAAAACTAAACAAGCGCTTTGAATAGATAAGGTAATTGTCAGGCGACGATGATTGGTGTTAAATAGTGATGATGATGATGACCATGAAGATGATTTATTTATATATTTATTTATATACTAGAAGAATGCCCGGCTTCGCTCGGGGGTCATAACTCCGAAACCGAAAGTGGTAGACTAACGCCACCTGACCTATGTTACTCCCCGGTCCGAGCTACCCCTATACCCCAAATTTCAGACTCGGAAATGACAACGTGAATGATGGATCAGTCGAACGACAGAGTGAATGACAGGAGTTTTCCAGTCGAATAATAAAGATAATGGCAACTCTGGTCATAGCATATCTGTTTATAATATATTTCATATAAATGTTTATACACGTATTTGAAAAATACATTTAGGTCTACGTGTAATGTTGAATGTATAAATTCGGAAATGTTTTGATCTCTTGAACTGTATTATTTAAAATACACGATTAACGTATCAAATTGTAAATAGTGAATCAAGCCAAGACATGTATTAAATGTTTTATTGAATTGGAATAAAAACTGAAAACAGATTAACACCCTGTGTGAGATATTTCATTCAAATATTGTGAAAGGGTTGGTAATAAAATTAAAATTGTCATTGTGTCATTTTAATAACATTGAATCGTCCTATTCTGTTACGTAGTCGTCTCAACATATTGTTGTCATGGGTTACTTCTGCTAAACAACTCAATAGAAACGAGTAAAGTATTATAAACGAAATTATGTCTAAAGAGTTCTTCATGACATGTATTGACTGTAAGACACAAAGCGTACAGGATCTAAGTGTGATGTTAAAGGTCAACACGCAAATATTGAAATTGGGTATGTTCGTGGATTGACTTATAGAATGTTGTTAATATTTCCATTTAAATAAATACAAAAAGCAATTCGAAAAATAAACTATAAGTAAAGGAACCATCTCAGTGAATAAAGCTATTAATATGCCGTTAACCCGTGAGGCAAACCGAATGATGTTTTATAGTAAATTAGACGAATAAGACATATAACGTTGCCATCTCGACCCTGATGCCCATGAACACAAATGACGAGTTTAAGACAAACCAATTGCGGAATGGAATTGATTAATGCAATATATATTTTATTATGTATTGACAATACTTTTCTGGTTAGATTTTAGCCTAAACACGACATGTGTGTTGGTGACAATTTTGGCAGTCATATCTGAATGACTCAAAAACTGTTTATATTTCTTTAACTTTTGGTATACCTAAATTCGGGCTATTATTTATGGTAGAAAGATATAATAAAATGACCTAAAGCTTTAAAACATATTTTTAAATATGTTGAGGCACCCTAAATTGAATTTGAAGCACCAGGGATAAATAAATAAAAATAGCTATAATGCATGATTTTATTGTAACTAGTGAACTGATAAATATTGTACAATTTATCTAAAGAGTACATTTATGAAAACGTGGTACTTTTCTGATATCTAGTTAAATTAACACTTACCCAGATTTTGGCATAAGCATGACTTAAAATGATCACGGCTAAAATACTTCCGTGCGAATCAAGAATTCTTTATGTAAGAATTGAGCTTTATAAGACCGTAAATGCACCACACATTATGTCTCCATAAGATGGTAGCTATAATCTTTCAATCCAATCCCCTAATTAAGTATACCCCCACCCAATCATAAAAAAATAATAACATAGCAAAACGGTGTTTAATTCTGATCATCTAAATTATCAAATGATATTCGCCGAAGTAGTAACTGAGAAGGGCGTGTTTTAAGATATACATAATGTATCTTACTATTTTTCGCTTATATAATTTGATTTTCAAATACAAACCATTAATGATTATCTTAGCATTAAAACAATCAACCATTTGTGGTTATATTGAAATCTGTAAAAGACGCATTCTTTTTGAATATATTTTTAAAAAATAATAAATGGAAAAAAACATATTATTAACGCTTTTTCAACAAGCAATTGTTATACTCTTAGTGATTTGTAGAGCGTCAAATCACAATGTTATTGTACTGTTTTAAATTGTAGATTTTATTCATTCATGTAAAACATTTATTACAATTTTATAATAAAATGTATAAAACACTGAGTTCGAGATTCAAATCACAAATCCATCCAAGCTAGGATACTGCAAATCCGAATATTTTTGTTTATAAAATATTTACTTTCCATTCAATAAATATTCCAGTCATCTAGTTTTGGATTTGGGGAAATTCATTCTCCTTTTCCCATATATACAGATTGCCGTATTATTTAATAATCAAACCAAACAGCATGTAATCAAAGAACGCTTGTATCCGCCATATGTAATATTGTCACGTGACATTGTTATGTTTTGTTTCGCTCGGGAAGCGTTTATTATACATAAAAGAACTCCAGTGTAGTAAGCCATAACTATGAACAATATCATGTCCCAAATAAATAATCTAATTTGTAGATCTGCAATTGGTCACATGATGGTCCGAACATTATTTGTATGGCTCTATTTGTTGACAGCAAATACCGCTAATAATTATCTTGGATAAAATACCTCGTTTAGTAAACGAGGCAATTTTACCCAGCCTCGTTCTGAACAAAATACCTCGTTCCAAAAAACAGGGCAATTTAAAAAAAAAACACGTTTTGGAACTCCAGAGAAACGAGGTATTTTTTTTACCTCGTTACAGCGAGGCAAAATCGGGGCAAAAATTTTGACACGTTTTTGCCTCGTTTGGACAAATGCCGAACGAGGCATTCTGAGGTTTATAGTGATACACCACTACGGGTTCTTCGTCGCAGAAGACACTAACGTCGGCATCGTCTGAGATGGAGGACTCCATAACCGGAACTGGCACATCGTATCGGGTTTCGGCTGTAAACGATTCTTCTACTTCCATAGGTTCAGTTGTTGGGACCTCCATAACTTCTTCTTGTTGTTCGTCCATATCTTCCGTCTGCTTATTAGATTTAAAGTTGTTTTTTTAAACATAAATTAGATTACAATTCAACTAACACAAAAGTGTAAAAAGATTTTTTTCTAGTCTGTGCCCGCGTTTATGTCTACTCTTGACAAAATCGTTATAATATAAAAAAAATCATGAAACAAGAATCAAAATGGCCGCCAATCGGGTCTCCAACGCCAATCCAACCTCCCAAGATATAATTTCAAAACAGATTCTTACCTGCTGGTTCAAGTCGAACCGTTTCTGCTTTAATCATAATGTGATTCTGTAATGTAAGTATTTGAACAACATCGTAGCGCCGAACAACTAATGTTAATTAAGCATGATTTCAGAAAAATTGAACAGATTTGATAATAACATGCCGAATTTTTTTTCCTGACCGCGCCATATTATAAACATGAACTTCCGGTTTAAATTGTTGGGGGTTTTTTTTTAAGGAAACGAAATACTAATATTATACAGAGAAACAATATCGATGCTAAATTACATACATGGTATTATTTTTTATATATAAATATTCACAAACCTGCGGTCTTGTATTCTATGTGACCATTAGCTTACATTTGTCAAACATATCACTGCTCCAAAATCATTTCAGCACGTTGTTAAATGTTAAATTAATTGTGTGAAATCACTTCATTTAATGTCCGCTTCCACCGAGATGATATCGCAGACAAAATGTAGTCTATAGTACGTTGATTTTATCAACCAATCACAGTCAATAACAGTTTTACTTATTTTCTTGTCAACGCATTTGGAGTCAATTGTTAAAATCACACCGGGCATGAGCGCTCAACAGGCCTTTGATCTACCAGTTTATTGGGCCCAACTTTATTTTAACTACAGACATCTTAACACCAATTAGCATTCAAGTCTGTCTGGCTATATTGTCTGAGTAAAAAATACCTTTCTCTTACTTGTGGACCCCCGGATTAAGACTTTGTATGGAGTTCAAATTTAAAAAAAAAAATATTTGTTGACGGTACACATTACTTGTGTTAATTATATGGAAAAAACACAAGATTTGTGTTAATGCATTAAAAAGAACACAAGTTTGTGTTAATGCAATGCAAAACAACACATAACTTGTGTAGAATAATTTTCACACAAGTACTTGTGTTGAGATCCAACACAAGTTTTTTTTCAGTGAAAATAAATCCACTTCCTTGGTGGACCATCCCTTTTTCCTGATTTTTAGCTTGACATCACAAACCTGCACAAAAAAGATTTTATAACATTAGACCGACATATTTACCTACAAGATTTACCTAAGGTAGAGGCTTTTATGGGACTTTAACCCAAAATTAAGCAGTTTTATTCTCCAAAATATTATCGGGATTGGCCCTTTAAACTTTAAAATTGAAAATCGTGTTCATTTTCCATAATTAGTTTGTTCTATCTACCTCTAAGAACATTATTAATGGCGAATCATATAATGCATCGAGACAAGCAGTTAAAAATGTTTTTACTTAAAGATACATTAATAGTTAAAAACTAGATAATGTAAAGGGAATTTACTGAAAATTTCAGTCAAATTGATCCACTATGAACCGAGAAATAAGCGATCGAAAGTTCCGCATAGCCTCGGTCATCATTACTAAAGTCGGTACGACAAAAATCATAGTCTCGATTATCCATTTAATCGTCAAATCGAGAAGGAAAGTTATGCAGCAAATCGGATCATAATCCAACAAATATCGCAGGCTAGCGTTGACATCGAGAGTTGATTATGGTCTTGATACCTTAATTAATGTCTGATTAATAGTTTATATAACATTTCAGGCCTAAAGACAGACCTACAATAGACAGATTTAGCTCTTGCATAATGTATTTTTAACTAACTCCATGAAAAGGTGAAAGGCTGCCAATCTGTCAATTTAGGTACCATGGTGCTCAACACTACGGAACTACGCCACTACTTATTATTTTATAAAAGAGAACTGCACAATAAATAAATTGATTAGACATCTGACCTAAAAAAAATGTGCAATATACATAAAAGAAAAACGGCAACTAACCATCGTCAGATTTAGGATCACTAAAAATGAAATGAAATGGAATGGGTTTAACGTCCTACTGTTCTGCGCCGAACTGGGCTAATGAAGACGGGCATACGCCATACAGTGTGCTATGAGGGAAATTTTGCCCAGACAGCGGCAAATGAGTCGACTGGCGTAGTTTCGATTCCCCGGTTGTACGTGACAAGGAGTAGGGTAGCTTGTCCAGCCTCGTGGGTTTTCTCCGGGTCACCCGGTTTCCTCCCACTGCTAAAGACCCCTACGCGCAAGTGAATTATTGAAATAAAATTGAACCATGTGTTAGTCCCGAAATGACCTAGTTTGTGTCGAGTGGACGTTAAACCCAATCTCTCTCTCTCTCTCTCTCTCTCTCTTTGATCGCGACAGTCATTACGGTTAATGGGAGACAACTGAAATAAACTGAACCACTGCATTAATTATGTGACATGTATTTTAATAGAAACTAAAGATAAAATCCAAATTTTATTAGATACTTCAATTTTGATTGGCTAAGCACTAAAATCAACCTAATATTATTCAATCAAATTACTAAAATTTGGATTTTATCTTAGTTAAAATTTCGTTAAACAGGCCCTAGGCTTTCCCGATATTGCATAACACTCGGTACACCGGGAAAAAATTCATTGCACTTATTGTGAATATCGCTTTGGGGAAAAATTAAAAATATGGATAATCCGAAATAAAAGTTGCATATATATTTATAAACTGTCAATACATATCGGATTCGGGTAACAATGTATTTAAATTGGAATTTAAGTTTTATTGGGAATGAAATGAAACGAAATCTGGTTTGGATGATACTTAACAAATACTGAATGACACCTATATACTTTTAAAGATAACAATGCACACCGAATGAATTACGCTTCGATGACGTATATGGCGTCACGTGATGAGGTGTGTCTCTCTTAAACATAAATGCGGAAGGTAATAATTTGGTAGAAGATTGGTTGCTTGAGGTTTTAATTAGGAATTAAACTGTTTCAGCTAATTAACACCGTGAGTATAAAGAGAGTATATTATAGTTATCCACTAGTTATCACAGTGATTGTTAGTGTAGGCCTTTTAGACAGTGGATTAATACTGATCAATCTGAAACAGAAAGTAGTGTAACGTTTCCTTGAAGGGATAACCACGTTTGGGGTATGGGGAGCTTGGTATCTCTGCCACCAGTGATCGATTCCTCGCTGATCACGAGCCACCGGTAAACGGCAGGGGCGGATCTAGGAATTTTAAAAAGGGGGGGGGGCGCCCCAAAATGCGGGCACTGACCGCGGAGACGGGGCAGGCCGCTGAGAGGGGGATGGAGAGGGGGGCCCAAGAAAATTAACCGTCATTTCCTTGCATCTGTAGCCGTTCCAACAGCTATTTGGCTGATATTTTCCTCTAAGTAAACGTTCGGAAATCGTTGAAAAAGAGCCTTAAAATCGAGCAAAAAAGCAAGTTGAACATGCGACTCAAAAATTGTCAAGGCGAGCGAGGCATTATGATGGGAAAAAAGACGAATCTATTCCCTAGCCACTTCACTATTTAAGCCTTGTAACATATACTGTTCTGTCCACACATGAAAGAATGCTACATCAATTTGCACTCATGCGCGTCGGTGATGGGTATGAGTGTATATACCGCCGATTCCACAAGATGCTATCATTGATGTCGGTCTATAGTCATTCTATAGGATTAGGGCAACGTCAGCTAAACAAGAATTCGTTTGAAAGTGGAAGCATTAATTAGACCAGACTTGTCGATGGTTTGAGTCATTTGGGATCCCTGCAACGGGTTGGGAACGGATATATTTGGGTCTGAGAAAAGACACTTATAGTAGTAAAAAAGGGCACTGTCAAAAATTAGGCGCGCGCCCCCCTTGGATCCGCCTCTGAACGGAACTTCGGAAGGTTGTGTAACGACCTAAAAAGTGGTCAGTAACGGTGCTTTGCTAAAATTAAGATAAGCTTCACCGTAGGAATAAGACAGACTCGTTCAGTTTTCAAACCTTTATGTAACAAAAACTTTTAATATATATATATATATATATATCAGTATTTACAGCTTCAATGTGTTTATTTCTGTTAACTGTCCTTTTTCGGGTGAACATCGTTCACCGTACTCTAAAAGTGTCTTTACTTTTTGGGCGAATAGCATTCGCCATACTGGTTCTTGAATCTGCAAGTGTCTTTACTTTTTCTGGCGGACAGCATTCGCCGTACTTATTCTTGAATCTGCAACTTGTCTTTTTCGGACAATCCTAGATTGCCGTACTCTCTGAAACAACGAGTAAAAACCTCTTTCGTGATAGGAGGTTCTATGACATCGGAACGTAGCTTGCCAATGTCAGTGATTTGATCGCTGTTTATTGGCCGCAGTCCCAATGGCTGGCCTGCCGTGCAAATACCAGCCAGCATAATGTATCTATAAGAGACATTTATTCCTACTGGCGGTTCACAAATATTGCATTTAAAAATTCAAATCATAAGAACATAAACACGACTAATAAACAGTATCATATTGATTATAACAGTATAATGTATATATTGGTTACACTATATATGACAAAACATCGATCTTCTATTTCTATGTAAATATTGTATCACCTCACTGGTTTGCACGAATAAAATTAATAGTCAGACCTTTTGTGCTCCTGAACGCCGTCACATGTGTAAATATAAAATAGATATTTGAGTAACGTCCTTGTTGAATAAGTAGGTCAATAATAATAAAGCCGATGTGTTAAATTGTATACGCCATGTGAAAAGGACATTTGAAAAGTCAATAAACAATTACAAATACTAGACGATCAAGGGCTGTTCTGAAATATGTAGCAGAAGCGAATTTGCGTCACACGTTGGATTTGGGGAGTTTTTCCGTGTATTTTCCACATCTAGCCAGCGACTGCATAGCACTGCATGGTGCTACACATCAACAATAATTCAATTCATTATTTATACATTTGGATTATGACGTGACTTTTAAATTTTTTAATAAACAGAAGCCTTTTATGAAGGGTGTTTCACGTTTCACCGGTGTCCTCTTATCAAGATAAATTTAGAAATATCAGATAAATTTATACATACAATGGTCCCGTGATGCATAGGCGTACGACCTCGATTAAAATTTAACTGCCGCAAACTTGTTTTCCTTCTATTCCAGCGCGTGAATAGAGCCAATTCAATGTGGTCTAATATAGCCTACCTTAGGTGAGTCAACTGGCGTGGTTTCGAATCCCCGGTTGTACGTGACAAGGAGTAGGGTCGTCTGTCCAACCTCGTGGGTTTTCTCCGTGTCCTCCAGTTTCCTCCCACTGCTAAAGACCCCTACGCGCTTGCGCATTATGGAAATAAAATTGAACCATGTGTTAGTCCCGAAATGACCTAGTTTGTGTCGAGTGGACGTTAAACCCCATCTCTCTCTCTCTCTCTCTCTCTCTCTCTCTCGTTTTGCTTTATGTTTAATTGTTTTGTTTTTCTAGGTGTAAAATGATGTTCTGTGTTTTGCTTTATGTTTAATTGTTTTGTTTTTCTAGGTGTAAAATGATGTTCTGTGTTTTGTTTTATGTTTAATTGTTTTGTTTTTCTAGGTGTAAAATGAGACATAAAAAAAGAAAGATATGGTCAAACACGATTATTTTACAATAACTGATGAGATGACAGTTAAATAGTTAAAATAAAATAAACTCCAACAAAATGCCGTGTGAAACAGGCAGACTTCCTGAAGAACAATATAAAAAGATTCAGTCCAATTATACTGAACTAGTAGCAGACATTAAATATGATCCTATGGGTCTTGCTCGTTCATTATTTAAATACGAAGTCTTCGTTGATGATGATCTGGAGAAAATAACGAAGGAAGAACGACGTTACGATGGCGGTAAAAAAGACGCAGCAGCTAAGCTGTTGGATATTGTGTTAAACTCTGGTACAATGGCTTATAATAAATTTATAAACGCTCTCTACGACGAGAAATATTTTAATGCTTTATTCCGGCTGGAACCAGGTGAGATTTAATATTTTAATTAGATGCGGGGGGTTGGATGGTCGAGTGATTAGCAGGTGCGCGCTGTATCATAAGACCTGTCATTGAGTCAACTGGGGTGGTTTCGAATCCCCGGTTGTACGTGACAAGGATTAGGGTTGTCTGTCCCACCTCGTGGGTTTTCTCTGGGTTCTCCAGTTTCCTCCCATTGCTAAAGACCCCTACGCGCAAGCGAATTATTCAAATAAAAAATTGAACCATGTGTTAGTCCCGAAATGACCTAGTTTGTGTCGAGTGGACGTTAAACCCAGAGAAAATGAAAATATGTTTCATAATGATTAACCAATTCAATTACATGGGGATATGACAATCTGTCTTCGTTCAAATTTCTAAGTCAGTCGATAAAATCAATTATGACTGTGTTCATCAGGCAACAGTTTAAGCAAACCAGGAATTTAAATTAGTAAACAACCTTCGGCTCAATATTTCAAATATAAAATTCGACACTAGTCGAATTACTTGAGTAATTAAAAGCCAAGTTAATGTTACAAATTTGGTTGAGGTCAAAACAATGAGTAAGTGTTAAGTTTAGCGGTAAAAAATTAAACATACATTATGCAAGAGCTAAATCTGCCTATTGCAGGTCATTCTTTAGGCATGAAATCTTATCCAAATTATTAATTAGACATTAATTAACTTATCCAGACCATAATCAACTCTCGATGTCCACGCTAGCCTGCGATATTTACTGGATTATGGATCCCATTTGCTGCTCAACTTTCATTCATGATTTAATCATGAAATGGATAATCGAGACTATGTTTTTTTTATCGTACCGACTTTAGTAATGATGACCGAGGCTAGGCCGAAAATTCAATCGCTAACATCTCGGTTCAGAGTGGATCAATTTGACTGAAATTTTCAGTAAATTCCCTTTACATTTATCTAGTTCTTAACTATTAATGTATCTTTAAGTAAAAACATTTTTAACTGCTTGTCTCGATGCATTATATGATTCGCCATTAATAATGTTCTTAGAGGTAGATAGAACAAACTAATTATGGAAAATGAACACGATTTTCAATTTTAAAGTTTAAAGGGCCAATCCCGATAATATTTTGGAGAATAAAACTGCTTAATTTTGGGTTAAAGTCCCATAAAAGCCTCTACCTTAGGGCCGAGCAACTAACTCAATATATGTGATACGTTTTCAAACAACTTAAACCCATCAATCTTCATATGGAAATGGAAATCAGCGTCCCAAGCTGTATTATGCGGTGTCTGGATAAAACCAAGACTTTTATTTTATAAAAATAATGTGACGGTGAAATTTACCTTTCGTTATCAATCATAGCACATGGGTCATTCACTGTATAAACCCGTCGAAAAATTGACCCGAAATCTTAAAAGGGTTACGTGTCCGGATAAGCAGTTTTGAAGTTCACGTCCAAACGACTCAATATTTTGAGCTAAAATTTTGAGAAGGGGTATATACAACATTCCTCTATATTTTGGCGTTTAAACTTCATACGTACTCGGACTTCTATTTTGTAGACTCTGTTCAAATCGGGATAGTTCCGTTAATATATTTTCCAAAGTGTAACCTTTTTTTTCTAAACTGGACATCAATTTAAGGGGCACAGATTAATTACTGTACTGACACAAACTCTAACCCTGGCGCTAACTTTTTGTTCTGACCTCACCCATTTAATTTATTTCCATTGTCGTCTAATGTTGTTTTACATGATTGGCTAAAACGTCCCCAGAACATTCGGTGCTCGACAGGATCAAACCTAAGACAAGTTAGCCAAGTGGGACAAACACTTTACCTCGGTAAATTACATAATATGTAAATCGACACGAGAGAGAGAGAGAGAGAGAGAGAGAGATGTAAATCGACACTAATGGTAAATTTATGAGAGAGAGAGAGAGAGAGAGAGTTTAACGACAAAAACATGTTCATTTCGGGACTCACAGTTAGTTCAATTCTATTTCAATAATTCATAAGCCCGTAGAGGTCTTTTGCAGTGGGAGGAGGAATCCGGAGGACCCGGAGAATGCCCAGCGTGGTTGGAGACAGGCACCCTACTCCTTGCTTGTGACGTTAACTATTCGGCCACCCAATCACAATGATTAAAAAAGCGTAATAAATTAAAAAACAAACAAGTTTTTTTCCAAGAATTTTAAGTTGTGAGTGAGAACAGGAATTACCTTCAACTTTTTTTTACAGGTTTCAAGAGAGCCGAGGAGGATTCGACAATATCTGATAGACTGTTTAATGAATCTTTGAGAAGGGGAACTGTAAGTTAAAGTAGCTAAGTATCTAACTCAATATCATCCAAAATCACCGACATTGAAAACACGAATTATTTGTCAATTTAAATCAACATTGATGCTGTGATCTTATCTGGCAAAGATGAACTTCTGATATCCAATATTTAAGACAAAATAAACATTTTACGATTGGTACACGAGTCGTGTACCATAATGCGGTTCAGCGCTATTTGTCATAAGGGACTCGAAAAACGAGGCTAGGCATATTTCACAAGTCATGTCAAACGGTGACCACATATTCTTATCTGGAGAGCATGCGCAATAAATATTATCGGTGTAGACTGGTATAACCAGACGCTAGAAATTGTCATTCGATTGAGACTTCTGGCGTATTTCGGCGAACATAACTGTTTAGAAATTACAGTAAAAACAGAAACGATTGAATGTAAATCAGTTTAAATACATTCATATTACATTAATATATGCGTTGCGACCCATTTGTGTCAATTTCTAGGTCCCAAATATTAGCGATTTAGCCCCTTTAATCTTTGTTTTTCGGTAATCGGAGGGGGGTTGGATGGCCGAATGGTTAGCACGTGCGCGCTGCGCTGTATCATACGGTCTGGCATTGAGTCAACTGGCGGGATTTCGAATTCCCGGTTGTACGTGACAAGGAGTAGGGTCGCCTGTCCAACCTCGTGGGTTTTCTCCGGGTCCTCCGGTTTCCCCCCACTGCTAAAAAGACCCCTACGCGCAAGTGAATTATTGAAATAAAATTGAACCATGTGTTAGTCCCTCATAGCACACTGTATGGCGTATGCCCGTCTTCATTAGCCTATTTCATTTCATTTCATTTACCTATACAAACTATTGCTGTGCTATTATTATATGCATGATAGTCATGATGTACAAAAGTATTAACTAAACATACATTATGCAAGAGCTAAATCTGCCTATTGCAGGTCTTTCTTTAGGCCTGAAATGTTTTCTAAATTATTAATTAGACATTAATATTAATTATCCAGACCATAATCAGCTCTCAATGTCATCGCTAGCCTGCGATATTTACTGGATTAGGATCCGATCTGCTGCTCAACGCTCATTCAAGATTAAAGCAAAAACTGCATAATCGTACCGACTTTAGTAATGATGATCGATGCTAGGCCCAAAATTCAATCGCTAAATTCTCGGTTCAGAGTGGATCAATTTGACTGAAATTTTTAGCAAATTCCCTTTACATTATCTAGTTTTTAACTATTATAGTGAAAACTGTCAGCTCTTTATCTAATCTCTCATAATGTATCTTTAAGCAAAAACGTGTTTTAAATGTACAGTTTCATGAATTAATTTCATTATTTTTCGGATATTTTCCAGCTCAGCGGTATCCCTCCAATACAAGAAAATATAAGAACATGCACATATTTAGGTGAGTGAAAAAAATCCCCGTTCTTGAGTGAGTTCGTCAAAAATTTTAAACGTGAACATTGCAATGTGACGCACAGCCGCAGATTCAGCGGTAGGTCCTTTAGGAACGGTCTCTGATCGGACGCTGACCTTTCCTACCTTTCACTATAGCTGCAATATAAAAACACCACTTTTCCCCCACACATGTTCTAAGGCTATTTTGGAATCCTTACCGAAGCGGTAATCCTTACCGTGTATTTTTCAGCGTGATTCTACTTTATTCGCCAAAAGGAATTGTTTCTCGCCATATCTGACACAAATTTATAATAATTCAACACTATTGTCAAAATGTATGTTTTTGATCGCAAAATTCTACTTGAAAATAGTGTTGAATTATTATTAATTTGTGTCTGTTATGGCCATAAATGATTATGATTTCTTTTGGGGAAAGAAAAGAATCACGCGAAATATAGAAAGTAAGAATTCCGAAATAGCCTTAGAACAGAGGTGGGGCAGAGCGGTATTTTCATATTGCAGCTATATAGAGACGTATAGGATCGGTCAGTGGACAACGCCGTTCTGAGACCATTCCTAAAGGAACTACATCAACAATGACTACCTAGCGAACCAAATTCTTGACTCACCTGTCACTAACTGAACATTTGAGTTTAGAGATTGCTAAATCGAATTTAACAATTTTATGTACAGTGTTTATTCCGAATATGACTGCATTGTGAAAACAAATCGTCAGGGTAAGAAACTGTAATGGTTTTTGGAGGTAGCCTAAAATCACATTTCAGCTCAAGATCGGTTCTTTATATCCATTTCAGACAAGAAAAATGAAGATAGTCCACGATTGAGAACGAAGAAAGGTATGTCTAATATACTGTATCAAATACTAAGAAACTGTTCCAGACCCGAAGTTCACAAAGCATTCTCAGACTTATGTTAAGAATTTACTCAACTTTCAATCACTGTTTATAAGAAATATCTTTGATCCAGAAACACAAAACTTTGCAAATAGTTTCTTATTGATGTATTTGATACATTAAAACAACACAAGTTTTATAAAGGGCTATATTTTAGATAAAATAATGTGAACAATTCTGAGTAAATTCTTAACTTAAGTCTGAGAATGCTTTATGAACTTGGGGCCTGGTTTATTATATTTTATTAATTATCCACTCAATGACCGGGATGTTACCTTACTTCTAGTTTCGTTTTATTCATGGATAAATTACACTTGGGGCTGCTTCTAAGATATATAAATACAAAAAGGCCAGCAAAATCTTAAAATCATCCAAATCAACACGGTTTCCATCCAATACTAAACATTTTTGTTCCCAAATCATTTTTTACCTTGTATAGTGCGTTTGTTGTTTGTGGCTTGCAGGGGATCACGTGGCTAAGTGGGTAAGATGCTGGATCGTTAGCCTGGAGGTCGGGTGTTCAATCCCTGCATTGGCCGAGAAAGTTCATCCAGATTTTTAGGGGTGGTTTCCCCGGCTTGTCAGTGATGCAGGACGGAGGGCCTGACAAGGACAGCCGTCTAGTCGTTGGGATGGGACGAAAAACCGAGGTCCCGTGTACACATTGACGTGCACGTAAAAGATCCCTTGGTAGTTGGAATTCGATATAAGAGTAGGCCGTAGCGCCGCTGCCCGGGCAAAATTCCCCTCATAGCACACTGCATGGCGTATGCCCGTCTTCATTAGCTCAGTTTAGGAGCAGAACAGTAGGACGTTAAACCCCATTTCATTTCATTTTATTTGTTGCTTGCAATGGTCAAACGTTGTGTGTCTTGTTCGCGAGTTTGTCTTAAAAGTTTGTATGCACTTATTTTTATAAATAACTTATCATTTTTATCTTCTTTCTCTTTATTAAGATACCACCATGACTATCCTTCAAGATGTGATCAAGAAGAATTCTGTAAAGACCCGTGCATTTGAAGAAGGTTTGAATATATTAAACAACCACTTCATATTGGGTATAATAGGAGCAGCGGGCGATGGTAAGACAACACTTTCAAGTATGATTGCCTACCAGTTTATTCAGGACAACCAACAGTATATACCATTAATGATTAACGAGCTAGATGATTTAAATTACGTTACCTTTAATAATGATGATGATAAATATATATTTATAATCGATGACATGTACGGAAAATTTAATAAATTAAAGGAACGCATAGACAAATGGCCTAACCAGTTTGAACATTTTCGAATTCGAAAAGAAAAGGGTCAGTTAGCCCTCATATATATTATGAGAGATTACATTTATAATTCTTCAAAATATCAGTTGGATAAATATGGGTTATTCTCTGAAAACACTACAAAAATATTTCTCCACATAGGGGAGTTTTCTCTTAACGACGAAGAGAGAAAACGATTTTTAAAATTTTATAACATTTCTTCCGACACAATTATTTCCAAAATCGAGGGTTGTTTCGGCTTTCCAGCTATTTCAAGTGTGTGTAGTAAACTTAAAGCTGACAGTTTGCCAATCAATTTAGGAAGCTCGCACGAATTCTTGCTTACTGAATTAAACACGTTTTGGAACGAAAATAAAGACATATATTCCACATTACTGGTGGTTTTTTGTCTGCATACTGTTAGGGAAGAAGATTTAAAACTGGAATCTCCGAAAGGCGTCCGAGAGCTTACAAAGAAAATTACTGAAAATGTTTACAACAGTTTTCATCTTAATATTGCCAAAGAGAATGTCAATGAACTCGCAGAAACTTTTATCAAACTTGTTGAAAGAAACTACCTGTTGAGAGAGTTTGTGGAGGCTCCATTTTTTTGTCACTTTTCTGAGAAATGTATGGATATGGCTCTAGAATATTGCTCCTTTGAATTGCTAATGGCATTAACCAAAACGACAGGGCAACCAGAGAACCAGTTTATTATTATTCATGAAAGATATTATGATTACTTTTCATTGCGTTGTTTAAAAGAATTAAAAGCGAAAAACACTGGTATTTTTCAACACCCAGCTTTTCTTGACAATAATTTTTTGACCGATTTTCTTACTAAGGATGATGTGAAAGTTTTGCTGTCTGACATCAAAACGATCAGTTTAGGAGAAATACAAGGTAGTGAAGAATGTGGAAATTTTGTCCATTACATTTCTCTTTATGGTGATCTTGAGTGCCTTACAACTGTACTCGAGAATTTAAAAGAACATCTGTTGAATAAGGACAAAACTAACATGAACTGGGATGTAATGGGTCTCGCTGCTATTTCGATGATTGAACCAATTGAAAAACTAACGTTTTTACGGGAACGTAACTATGGTGACATTGTTACTTTACCTCACCTTGCTGTTTATTCTGGTAGATTTGATATTGTTCAGTACGTAGCTAGTTTTACAGTATTTGATCCTAGGTCTCTTGATAACAAATCTAGAACAATTCTTCACAATGCTTGTGATTCTAATTATGATGTTGTTGAAATTATTGATTTTCTGGTAGAAAAAGGATTTGACATAAATGCACAAGATGGCGATGGTTCTACCCCACTCCATCTTGCTGTTGGGCGAGGCAAAAAGCAAAATGTATCAATCTTAATTATGAGGGGTGCCTCTGTCCGTGTTCTAGATAATAATGGCAGAGCACCCGCTCACGTAATTTGCACCGTCGATGATGGGAGAAATGACGTCGATGCTTCAGGTATCCTTAATCAATTAATTGAAGCCGGATCGCCGGTCAATTCTACTGATAAGCGTGAGCGAACACCGTTACTAGAGGCGTTCTGTAATGTGAACAGGAAATGTATTCGGTATCTATTAACAAATCAGACAATGATGGTTGATACAGCAGACGAAATCAATCAGTTTATTATGTACGCAGCATCCCAGTTATCAGATACTACATTATTCCGATCTATCCTCGATGTCCCAAAATATATCAATACAATGACTTTATTTCGTTGTTGCCAGTCACTTGAAAACTTGAAGGCGTTGCGTTCTGTAGGTGTCGATTTTCATGTTGTAAATGATGCAAAATGTAGTTTACTACACGAAAGTTGCAGAAACGGTACCATCGAGACTGTTAAGTTTTTGATTAATGAAGTAGGATTAAATATTAATGATCGAAACATTAATGGACAAACGCCTGCAACATATTGTTGTTTCTCTAAGATAAATCCTGTCGAAAAACTGAAGTTTTTATCATTAAAGGGGGCTAACCTAGGTGCAGTAGATAACAATAACTGTAGTTTACTACAGATCAGTTGTAGTCAAGGTATCATCGAGACGGTAAAATATTTAGTTAATGAAATCGGGTTATGTGTAAACCATAAAGATATAAATGGTATGACACCTGCAATGTACAGTGCTGTATCTAACATAAATCCTCTCGACAAATTGACGTTTTTATCATTAAAGGGGGCTAACCTAGATATAGTAAATAACAATAACTGTAGTTTACTACATCTCAGTTGTAGTCATGGTATCATCGAGACGGTAAAATATTTAGTTAATGAAATCAAATTAAATGTAAACCATAAAGATGTAAATGGTTGTACACCTGCAATGGATTGTACTGCATCTAACATAAATCCTGTTGATAAACTTAAGTTTTTATCATTAAAGGGGGCTAACCTAGATGTAGTAAATAACAATAACTGTAGTTTACTACAGATCAGTTGTGGACAAGGTATCATCGAGACGGTAAAATATTTAGTTAATGAAATCGAATTAAATGTAAACCATAAAGATGTAAATGGTGTCACACCTGCAATGGATTGTACTGTATCTAACATAAATCCTGTTGATAAACTTAAGTTTTTATCATTAAAGGGGGCTAACCTAGATGTAGTAGATAACAATAACTGTAGTTTACTACAGATCAGTTGTAGTCAAGGTATCATCGAGACGGTAAAATATTTAGTTAATGAAATCGGGTTATGTGTAAACCATAAAGATATTAAAGGTAAAACACCTGCAATGGATTGTACTGTATCTAACATAAATCCTGTTGATAAACTTAAGTTTTTATCATTAAAGGGGGCTAACCTAGATGTAGTAGATAACAATAACTGTAGTTTACTACAGATCAGTTGTAGACAAGGTATCATCGAGACGGTAAAATATTTAGTTAATGAAATCAAATTAAATGTAAACCATAAAGATATTAAAGGTAACACACCTGCAATGGCTTGTACTGTATCTAACATAAATCCTGTTGATAAACTTAAGTTTTTATCATTAAAGGGGGCTAACCTAGATGTAGTAGATAGTTTACTACATTCCAGTTGTAGTCAAGGTATCATCGAGACGGTAAAATATTTAGTTAATGAAATCGAATTAAATGTAAACCATAAAGATATAAATGGTATAACACCTGCTATGTGTTGTGGGATTTCGGAGCTAAATCCTGTCGACAAATTGACGTTTTTATCATTAAAGGGGGCTAACCTAGATGTAGTAGATAACAATAACTGTAGTTTACTACAGATCAGTTGTAGTCAAGGTATCATCGAGACGGTAAAATATTTAGTTAATGAAATCAAATTAAATGTAAACCATAAAGATATAAATGGTATAACACCTGCTATGTATTGTGGGATTTCTAACATAAATCCTGTTGATAAACTTAAGTTTTTATCATTAAAGGGGGCTAACCTAGATGTAGTAAATAACAATAACCGTAGTTTACTACATCTCAGTTGTAGTCAAGGTATCATCGAGACGGTAAAATATTTAGTTAATGAAATCGAATTAAATGTAAACCATAAAGATATAAATGGTATAACACCTGCTATGTATTGTGGGATTTCTAACATAAATCCTGTTGATAAACTTAAGTTTTTATCATTAAAGGGGGCTAACCTAGATGTAGTAAATAACAATAACCGTAGTTTACTACATCTCAGTTGTAGTCAAGGTATCATCGAGACGGTAAAATATTTAGTTAATGAAATCGAATTAAATGTAAACCATAAAGATATAAATGGTATAACACCTGCTATGTGTTGTGGGATTTCGGAGCTAAATCCTGTCGACAAATTGACGTTTTTATCATTAAAGGGGGCTAACCTAGATGTAGTAGATAACAATAACTGTAGTTTACTACATCTCAGTTGTAGTCAAGGTATCATCGAGACGGTAAAATATTTAGTTAATGAAATCGAATTAAATGTAAACCATAAAGATATAAATGGTATAACACCTGCTATGTATTGTGGGATTTCTAACATAAATCCTGTTGATAAACTTAAGTTTTTATCATTAAAGGGGGCTAACCTAGATGTAGTAAATAACAATAACCGTAGTTTACTACATCTCAGTTGTAGTCAAGGTATCATCGAGACGGTAAAATATTTAGTTAATGAAATCGAATTAAATGTAAACCATAAAGATATAAATGGTATAACACCTGCTATGTGTTGTGGGATTTCGGAGCTAAATCCTGTCGACAAATTGACGTTTTTATCATTAAAGGGGGCTAACCTAGATGTAGTAGATAACAATAACTGTAGTTTACTACAGATCAGTTGTAGTCAAGGTATCATCGAGACGGTAAAATATTTAGTTAATGAAATCGAATTAAATGTAAACCATAAAGATATAAATGGTATAACACCTGCAATGGATTGTGGGATTTCGGATCTAAATCCTGTCGACAAATTGACGTTTTTATCATTAAAGGGGGCTAACCTAGATGTAGTAGATAACAATAACTGTAGTTTACTACAGATCAGTTGTAGTCAAGGTATCATCGAGACGGTAAAATATTTAGTTAATGAAATCGAATTAAATGTAAACCATAAAGATATAAATGGTATAACACCTGCTATGTATTGTGGGTTTTCGGAGATAAATCCTGTCGACAAATTGACGTTTTTATCATTAAAGGGGGCTAACCTAGATGTAGTAGATAACAATAACTGTAGTTTACTACAGATCAGTTGTAGACAAGGTATCATCGAGACGGTAAAATATTTAGTTAATGAAATCAAATTAAATGTAAACCATAAAGATATTAAAGGTGACACACCTGCAATGTATTGTACTGTATCTAACATAAATCCTGTTGATAAACTTAAGTTTTTATCATTAAAGGGGGCTAACCTAGATGTAGTAGATAACAATAACTGTAGTTTACTACAGATCAGTTGTAGACAAGGTATCATCGAGACGGTAAAATATTTAGTTAATGAAATCAAATTAAATGTAAACCATAAAGATATTAAAGGTGACACACCTGCAATGGATTGTACTGTATCTAACATAAATCCTGTTGATAAACTTAAGTTTTTATCATTAAAGGGGGCTAACCTAGATGTAGTAGATAACAATAACTGTAGTTTACTACAGATCAGTTGTAGTCAAGGTATCATCGAGACGGTAAAATATTTAGTTAATGAAATCGAATTAAATGTAAACCATAAAGATATAAATGGTATAACACCTGCTATGTGTTGTGGGATTTCGGATCTAAATCCTGTCGACAAATTGACGTTTTTATCATTAAAGGGGGCTAACCTAGATGTAGTAGATAACAATAACTGTAGTTTACTACATCTCAGTTGTAGTCAAGGTATCATCGAGACGGTAAAATATTTAGTTAATGAAATCAAATTAAATGTAAACCATAAAGATATTAAAGGTGACACACCTGCAATGGATTGTACTGTATCTAACATAAATCCTGTTGATAAACTTAAGTTTTTATCATTAAAGGGGGCTAACCTAGATGTAGTAGATAACAATAACCGTAGTTTACTACATCTCAGTTGTAGTCAAGGTATCATCGAGACGGTAAAATATTTAGTTAATGAAATCGAATTAAATGTAAACCATAAAGATATAAATGGTATAACACCTGCTATGTGTTGTGGGATTTCGGAGCTAAATCCTGTCGACAAATTGACGTTTTTATTATTAAAGGGATGTAAATTAGATGTAGTAGATAACAATAAACGTAGTTTACTACAGATCAGTTGTAGACAAGGTATCACTGAGGCGGTAAAATATTTAGTTAATGAAATCAAATTAAATGTAAACCATAAAGATATTGAAGGTGTCACACCTACAATGGATTGTACTATATCTAACATAAATCCTGTCGACAAACTTACGTTTTTATTATCAAAGGGGGCTAACATAGGTGCAGTAGATGGGGCTAACCTTAGTTTACTACAGATCAGTTGTAGTCAAGGTATCATCGAGACGGTAAAATATTTAGTTAATGAAATTGAATTAAATGTAAACCATAAAGATATAAATGGTATGACACCTGCTATGTATTGTGGGATTTCGGAGCTAAATCCTGTCGACAAATTGACGTTTTTATTATTAAAGGGATGTAAATTAGATGTAGTAGATAACAATAAACGTAGTTTACTACAGATCAGTTGTAGACACGGTATCACTGAGACGGTAAAATATTTAGTTAATGAAATCAAATTAAATGTAAACCATAAAGATATAAATGGTTTCACACCTGCAATGGATTGTACTATATCTAACATAAGTCCTGTCGACAAACTGAAGTTTTTATCATCTAAGGGAGTTAACCTTAATATAGTAGATAACAATGATATTAGTTTACTATGTCACTGTTGTGTCGCGGGTACCACTGAAACCCTTAACTATTTGATTAATGTAATCAAATTAGATATAAATTTGACTGTCGTAATGTGTTGTTGTATGTCTAGAATTGATTCAGTACAAAAATTAAAGTTACTGTTACAAACTGGTAATGCATTGGTTACTGAAGGTTTGCATAGCCGCGAATTATTAGAAAAATTTTGTAAAGATGGTACTGTAGAAACTCTGACATTTTTGATAAATGAGATGGGATCATACATAGATATTGATGCACTTTTATTAGATTGTTTCCAAACAAATTTTCAACAGATGGAAAAGATTAATTTTCTGATATGGAAAGGTGCTAAGATCACAATATGTCGACCGTATAAGGAGTTCTTTAAGGATGACGTTGATGACTGTACTTATCTATTACGTCATTGATGACTGCACTGAAATTTGATGAAATTTCTTGTCAATCATGCTATGGATATGATGCTAAGGACAATGTATTGATTTGGACTGAAAAATCAAATATTCATCTATGTGAAAAGTTAGTTTTCCTTTTATCTACAATGCAGTGTATTTTCACAGAGCTGATGTCATTGTATTCTTAAAGATAGGTTCCCAGAAAAGTATTTATCGGGTGGTTATTTCCAATAAAAGTATGACAATTTTTTTATAGTAAGGGTATTCCTTGGCAATTGCAATATTTTGAGAAGGATTTGAAGCAAAACTATGATCAATTAATTAGTTTGAATATGTTTTTAGTCCAAATATATCATAAAATCACCCAGTTTGTACGCGGGAATGTATCTTTAAAAACAATGTATACGCGGGAATGTATCTTTAAATACAATGTATACGCGGGAATGTATCTTTAACAAATACAATGTATACGTGGGAATGTATCTTTAACAAATACAAAGGTTTAGACGTTTTCGAAATGATAATCTTGATATGTGTACCTGTGCCACACTTCCATAATAACATTTTAAACTTCCAATAAAATAAATAATTCGGGTGTGATATCAAAGAGGAAATAAACAAATTAGGCTTCCATGAAGTATATTTATCCATAGTTTATTATCTGTATATAAAACAGGCGTGATATCAAAGAGGAAATAAACAAATTAGGCTTCCATGAAGTATATTTATCCATTGTTTATTATCTGTGATATATGTCTATTTTAAGTGTATTTTTCTTTTCTTGTGTAATTTTTATGTACATTTTTGTATGAAGTATATTTATCCATTGTTTATTAACTGTGATATATGTCTATTTTAAGTGTATTTTTCTTTTCTTGTGTAATTTTTATGTACATTTTTGTATTACCAGTTTTTTCTGTTTTAAATTGGTAACTATTTACGTTTGTATTTTATGTGTATTTAGTGTTGATATCTATGTTTTTGTATTTAATTGTAAAGCGCTATTGAGCACCATAGTGGAAACAGCGGTATATAAGTGTTCTTATAATAATAATAATAATAATAATAATAAATTAGTCTTCCATGAAGTATACCTAAACGACCTATATATACACTTTATTAACAATTTTGACACAATTCAGATGGAAGTGACAATGAGGGGGAGACGGGATCACTGATTTTGTGCATAACTTTGTGCATAACTTCCATCAACATCACTCTAAACTCTGTTTCTCAACTTTTAAAACTTCGCCCTTCATTTCGCAGTCGTCTCAACTGCTTCTGGCTATGTGTCAACAAGAGTTGGGAGTTTTATAATATTTTGGGGGAATCACGATGGCTAAGTGGATAAGACGCTGGCTCACTAGCTTTGAGGTCAGGTGTTCGATCCCTGCATTGGCCGAGAAAGTTCATCCAGATTTTCCGGCGTGGTTCCCCCTTGTCAGTGATGCAGGACGGATGGCCTGGCAAGGACAGCTGTCTAGTAGTTCGGGTGGGACGAAAAACCGAGGTCCCGTGTACATATTGGCGTGCACGTAAAAGATCCCTGGACAGTTGGAATTCGATATAAGAGTAGGCCGTAGCGCCGCTGCCCGGGCAAAATTTCCCTCATAGCACACTGTATGGCGTATGCCTGTCTTCATTAGCCCAGTTTAGGAGCAGAACAGTAGGACGTTAAACCCCATTTCATTTCATTTTGTATTGTATTATTTGTAAATGTATATAAATATAATTACTATACTGTTTATACATAATTATAATGGTGATTCTGTGTTTATTTCTTAACATTAATCATATTGTACAAAATGTGACCGGTGACAGCCAAATAAGTCGGAAGTCGGACATGCTCATTTAACGCTACGATGTAAAATATCTACTTGAGGTTAACTTTAAAAAACATTTTTTTTTGTGAAATCCGATGCTTTAACTTGTCTATTATTGGAGTAATCCAGACAAATTTAAATATTTAATTGATTTAGTGTATAAATTGGATTATTTGTAAGTATTATGTTTTACCCCAAGTGACTCATTTGCCTGTCACCGGTCACATATATAAAAGCATTGTATTATTATCAATACGTGCATTATTAAATACTTTACATTCCTGGTTTAAATAAATAAATTTTAAATTCTAAATAAATAATAATGACTTAAATTTGTATGTATTAATTTTCCTGCGGTCATGTTTTCCCTATGAGAAATTAGAAGTATGCCAGAGATCTTAAAGGGATTATACGATTAAACCTATCGAAGTATTAGAGTAGACAAATGTTCATGTGCAAACAATAAGACGACTGTAGTTAATTTTACATCCATTCTTTCAGAGAGTCTGAATACACTTTTGAACGACAATACTATATACCGGAAAACACCGGCAAACAAACGGAAAACACCATGTTATACTGAATACCGGAAAACACTAAATACCGGAAATCACACTAAATACCGGAAATCACACTAAATACCGAAAATCACACTAAATACTGGAAATCACACTAAATACCGGAAATCACACTAAATACCGGAAAATACCCTAAATAGGTAATCCGGAGACTGGCACCCTAAATAGTTAACCCGGGGCCTGGTCCTCTGTGTGCCTGGATTAGGGTTAGGGCTAGTTTCCGGTTTATAGTATAGCCCTTCTCCGGGTTTTCTATTTAGGGTGTTTCGGTTGTTTTCCAGGTGTTTTACGGTGTTTTCTGGTATATAGTATAGCCCCTTTTGATGATACTCCATCAAGAACAAAGATTGCAGTTTTTAAAAAGGGCAAATTGTTATCGATTAGGTTAAGAAATTAAAGCATCTATTTGATTGATTGAATATGATTTCGTTACTTTTCACAATCAAAAATTATATGTTCGATCATCGATAGGATTAAACGGAAAGAGCCTTCGACATCAATGACCAAAATAACATACCTAAATGAAAACGGCAATTAACTTAGGCTGTGTTGAGCGCCCTTCCTTTAGTGGCATATAGCAAAGTAGAAAACTTAACTGGATACAAATCCCGCTCTACGGGGAATATACTATATACCGGAAAACAACCGGAAAACCGGATTACATGTGAGATGGGATGGTTCCAGTGTGACAACACCAAATGTTTGCCTGACCGATGGAGATGTGACAAAGATATTGATTGCTATGATGGCGCTGATGAAAAGAATTGTGGCGAGTTTTGGGTTTAATTATTTAATTAACAGTTGTGTTTAGGACACTGAAGTTAAAGACCACGTAAGATCAAAAATCCCAATTTAATGTACGTATAGCCCATGGTTACTATATCAATTTTACGGCAAGTTCACACCAACGTTTAAGTATCCAACACGCCAAAACGCTTTTCGATTTTTCAATTACGACCTTAATCCGGTTGATTGGCTGGTGACGTCACAGGCACTACACATAGGATATACATTATCTATACAATATCTCACTGTCTGTACAATATAGCACTATCAATACACACGGCAACTGGACAAGCGTCTATTGACGGTCCAATTACCACGTGACTGGCCTAATAATAATCACCGAATTATCGTCTTTCATTGGTATAGATTAGACATTTGTGATTGGAATATTTTAGAGTGAATTTAAAATGCCTTATCATGGCGTAGATCAATTTAAGCTGCCTTTGTTTAAATAGGCCACGTGTCAAATGAAGATGACTCGAGCAAAGTAACACTAATGTTAATACTTTTTTAACGACCCTGGTTCGTCTCAAGATCTTAAACTCTGTGTATCAATCTGAAGTCAAACGGATGATAACTTTAGCCTTTAGAGCTTCACAAAGTGATCAAGGGCCATAACTTCGGCAGTAATTATCGGAAATCATTGAAACCCAATAGGATTCTTTGTCTCATGACCTTAAACACTGTGTATGAATTTAAAGTCAATCGGATATTAACTTTGGCCTTTAGAGCGTCCACAAGATTTTTTGAAGTGATCGTGTCTGAGATTTGTTACAAATCGCCTCGAGCATGTTCCACATATCTCAATATTTATCAGCTTTTTGTTCAATCTGTAAAAGCCTACATTCCTACAAAATGTTTTGTTTAGTCAAGTCAAACAAGAAAATGCATAGGCTAAATGGAACAATAGAACAGGCACACCTTAATGTTGACAAACTATGAAATAAGATACTTCTATGATATGATTCAACCGAAAGGTCGTATATGCAACACGGATACATAATATCTATAATCAAGTTAAACGAACCGAATGTATACATTTTAAGTATTGCGTCGAGCTGAATAAAGTATACGAGTCATTGTCATGAAAGGATCTATGGGTGGGTAGTTAACGATGTGTAACTAAAAACTATGATATACCAAGTCTATTGCATCTAGATGTTCCTATCCACGACTTGAACTTGTCAAACAGTCTCTCTTGTATTCTTGTTCTTTACTTTAGACTCGATAGCTAATTACTTTAAAGCTGTATTATGTAAACCTCATAGGCGTACGAGCTGGGCACCAAATGCTGGGAAAATTGGGGCACACAATTGTAATTCTAAATTGAATCTTAAATTAAAATGAATTACAAAACAAATTATTCCGTAGTCAATTGTTTGATTTAATTAAGGAACTAAAGGGGATTAAAGAACCAGTCAGGCGTTAATGAGTACACTACACACGCCGGCTGTATATAGGTAATTAAGGAATAAACATTCCGAATATGCATTCGGTCACTGTGACGTCACTGGCGTCTGAGGGGATTAAGAGTGTTTTCGATAATTGGCAAAGTCGTTTTTACGGGAGGTCCATTTTTACGACTTTGAGTGAAGATAACTGAATTAATTTCAATCAGATTGGTGTGAACTTGCCGTAAAGTTGATATTGTAACCATTGGCTACACATATCCAAATGTTTCCAAACCCATCTTATGTGCACTTTAGGAAACATTAAATCTGTTAAAATAAGTGCATTGAAGCATGAGGTTGGAAGTGTCTCCGAGACTCCGGTACAAATAGCAGGGGCGGATCCAGGAATTTTTGCAGGAGGGGGTTTGCCAGGTTCCTGAGAAAATGTATCCCCCACCCCCTCGGCTTGAAATTTTTTGGGAAATACATGGTCTCTATCGTCATGTTGGCGTATATACATACACATTGATCTTTTTAAACAGAGAAATCCAACATCCTGTTTGACGTCAATTTTTATTATGAATTAATACGATAACATTGTGTTTCAATTTTATTTATTAATTGTGATATCACATATGTCTATATCATTATCTCGCACTTTGAATGCCCATCCTGACGATAAAGGGTTAAGCATAATTATGACACTGAATAGGTTAAAAACCATATTACAATTATGTGTCTCTTTTATTCAGACTACTTGATGCTTGTATGTAAGGCGGATGAATTTCAATGTGATAACTGGTGTATCAATGGCACATTTAGGTGTGATGGTACGAATGATTGTGTTAATGACTCTGAGGAGACGGGGGGGGGGGGATTTCCGAATGGTTAGCACGCGCGCGCTGTATCATAAGGCCTGTCATTGAGTCAACTGGCGTGGCTTCGAATCCTCCGGTTTCCTCCATTATGGTACAGTATACGACAATCGATTGATTCGACAAATATATCAACTGTGTCAACCCTATCAACCCTATCAACTCGTTTCGTTCATAGTACGATCGTGCAAATCATATCAACCCAATCAACCCAATACGATCGTAATGATGTGTGTTTTAGTATCGATCCAATCAACTCTGCAAAAACTCTTAATGTCGAATCAATCCAAAGGAGCATATTATCACCATCACGATCTTACACGATCGTTACTATCGTACACATTCTTTCGATCCAGTCAACTCTACGGCCGTGTACTATGGTTTATACGATCGATACGCACCACCACGATCGTACACGATCGTATACGATCGTACACGATCGTACAAATTCTATCGACCCAATCAACTCTAAGGCCGTGTACGATGGTATACGATCGTACACATTCTTTTGATCCAGTCAACTCTGCGGCCGTGTACTATGGTTTATACGATCGATACGCACCACCACGATTGTACACGATCGTATACGATCGTACAAATTCTATCGACCTAATCAACTCTAAGGCCGTGTACGATGGTATACGATCGATACGATCGTACACATTCTATTGATCCATTCAACTCTACGGCCGTGTACTATGGTTTACGATCGATACGATCGTACACGATCGATACGATCGTACACATTCTATCGATCTAATCAACTCTACGGCCGTGTACTATGGTTTACGATCGATACGATCGTACACATGATATCGATCCAATCAACTCTATGACCGTCCATACTTGATTTGTAATTTCGATCCCAGCATTTTTTTTAAATTAAGAGCCTCGACTGTCCATCGTCAAAGGCCGTTTTTTTAGATTGGACAGTTGCTGTGACAGGGGGTTTGGGGGATCTCCCCCATTAATATTTTGAACAGGTTTTTGTGGCGGGGGGTTTGGGGGATCTCCCCCACAATATTTTGAACAGGTTATAGAGCTTTGTGTTTTCTCCACGAAAAAAAAAATTTCTCCACAGATGGCTACATTGGCGGGACTTGGGGTTCTCCCCCAGAAGTATTTTAAAATTCTGGACAGTTTTCGTGGCGGGGGGTTTGGGGAATCTCCCCCATAATATTTTGAACAGGTTCTTGTGGTGGGGGGTTTGGGGGATCTCCCCCAAAATATTTTGAACAGGTTATAGAGCTTTGTGTTTTCTCCAAGAAAAATTAATATTCTTCACAGATGGCTCTCGTCGCTGAGGGTGCTCTACAGCTGTACTTAAGACAATTAATTGATTCGACAACTATATCGACATCCGGGCCTTAATGGAGCTTTGAGATATTTTAAAATCAGGCGCCCCAAATTCGCCTATTGTACTATATCCTGTAGCGAATACATCCAACACAAACCAACTTACAATGACGCAATAAAGCATTTTTGGAGCAAATTAAATAATTGGATTTCGTTACTGTCAACTTCATGCACAATTCTAGAAGATGAAAAATTTAAAACGCCGTAATATTTTTATTCGCAAGAAATGAAATGCAAATTCATTAACTATTAAAGTAAAATATATCATTTCATTATTAAAAATATGGCATATTTGTTACATCCATTCCATTAAACAATATTTTCAATACATCGCAGATTTAAAATC